AAAAAAAAAATCAGAGTCATGAAATAATTGGGGCTTTAAAACATACTTGCTTTTTCAATGTTAATACTTTAACCACCCCCTTAATTTATATGTAATATAACTGTTCTAGTTTCAAGGCTTTTTTTTTAAAGAGACAGGTCTCACTATGTAACCCAGGCTGGCCTTGAACTCAGCCCCTTCAGTAGCTGGCATTACAGGCACAGAGCAATTACAGGCCTTATAAAATGGTAATCCTAATTCACTGATTATAAATGATATGAAATATGGTAACAAGGTTCAAGTTTAAATTCTATAATCTTTTCAGTCCTTTCAGTGCATACAGAGACAGTTAGGTCCTCGAAAGGAAGTACAGCCAGGAACCTAACAAGGCCCTTTGATAAGAGACACAGAGAAAATAGCCTTTGACACCCCCATGGAAAGGCCAGCCTGAGGAAACACCCCTCCAGGGAAGAATAGGAGCATCAGAGCCTGCAGAGCACTCTGACCCTCCCTCCCTGCCTCTTCTTCCCAAGACTGTGTGCTGCACAAGGACATGCACACTGGGGTCATGTGAACGTGAGTTTGCTTATGTGTATGGGACAGGAGAGGACTGTGAAGTATGTGTGCAAGAGAGTGCAGGCCAAGCCCAAGACTGTGTGTGCACGTGTGCATATGTGTGTAGGGGAGAGCCGTGCTGGGATATTCCCCACCCATCCTGGGTGAGCTCTGCCTTCTTTCCTGGGCCTTGTCCCATTCAGCTCCTCCTGAGCATCTTGGCTGGGGACTCACTAGCTAGTGAAGAGCGTCTACCCTCATCTTTTGAGGAGTAGCAGGAGCAGGCAGCACTGGAACACACACGGGAAGGAAGGAAGTCCATGTGTGCTCAGAGGGAGGGGGTGGGGGAGAGGCAGGAGGCCTGGGCTGCAGGTGACCATCACAGGGTCCAGCTGCAAGCTGGGGACATCATCCCACCTACTCTATCATAGAGAACCCCAAGAATCCTGCATCTCCAACATGTCCTGGTGCCCAGGGCAGAGGCATGATCCCCCACAATTGTAAGAAGCATGCAAAGAGAGCCAGTTGAGGCAGTGTGGAAAGGGGGATCATGGTTAAGAACTGCAGCTCCAGGGAAGACACAGTACTGGATACCCACTTCCTGGACCCTTCGGAACCCAGGCCAGTGGAAGGGGCCCACGGGAGCTGCCACTCTGCATCTGCAGCCCTGAGTCTGTTGCTACGTCCCCGGTTTTGATTCCACTCCAGCCACAGGGACCTGTTGAGGGTTCATCAGGACAAATGGGAAGAACGACCCCAAAAGATCCTTCTGCTCCCTAGTCCAACATCACTCAGGCTACCAGGAAGTTCTTCCTGAGGCGCTTCTTCAGTAACACCGACTGCAAAGGGAATAGGGAGCAGGAATCAAAGAAAGAAAAGTGTTTCTTTACATCATCCTAATCCTTTCCTGTTTATTTTCCCAGGAGCCTCCACATCTAGGGAGAAATTCTTGGCTTGGCTGTTGCTGGCAGAGACCAACACTCTCTGAGCCAAGTGCAGGGGGCAAGGAGGGTCCAGAGCCTGGGCAAGCAGGGGTGGATACTGGGTGTCTGAGCGCCCTATCCCTGCCAAAGCTCTACTCTGGAAGACAGGAGACCTGGATTTCTGGTGGCTGTGAAATGGCTGCTCAGCCTTGGCAATCCACTTCTTCCCTCCGTCTCAGTTTTTGTAAACAATGGGGTCTAGATTTGCTAGGTGAATTTCAAACCATTTTTAGCAATGAAACTTAATCTGGTTTTCCCCCAAATGAATGCATTGGCTAAACCTCAATATGTATCCCAGATCTAAAAACTAGAGCTGCACAAGTCAGCACAGGAGTAGGCTGGGGGTAGCCCAGGGGCCACTTCCTTTACTTCCTTCCCTCAGGGGATCCTATAAAAATGAAGGTACTATTCAGAAACTATTGCATTATGGGTCTAAGACCCTCCCAGATGTAATGCCCGAGAACTCTATGAGTCATAGATGCCAACATCCTTCTTATAAAGGCAGGGGTGATTTTCTGGCACAATGGAGAGAGGTGATGGGCCTTCTCCAGCAAGCCCCAGGACTCCTATTTCCAGCCCAGGGTGCCTCTCTACCAGGACTCGTGCCCAGGGTGTGGCTAGGCCTTGGGCAGGGAATCAGAGCCTAGGGTCCTTGATATTTCCTCACCTGCTCTGTGGCTCCTGAGCTCTGCCTGCCTCCCCTGGGGCTAGTCCTAGATGACTGTCCACAGGGAGAAATGGCATCTGCTCCTAAGGTCCAGCAGGCTAACAACTGCCCCTCTTGTCTCCTCCAGCAGGTGCATCACCTGGATCATGAGGTCACCCCTCTGCTGGCTCCTCCCACTTCTCATCTTGGCCTCTGTGGCCCACGGCCAGTCAACAAGAAGACCAAGACCTGGGCCCGGGCCCGGACGCAGGCCCCGGCCCAGGCCCAGACCCGCTCCCACACCCAGCTTTCCTCAGCCCCATGAGCCAGCAGAGCCCACAGACCTGCCTCCTCCGCTCCCTCCCGGCCCTCCATCCATCTTCCCTGACTGTCCCCGGGAATGCTACTGCCCCCCTGATTTCCCATCGGCCCTCTACTGTGATAGCCGCAACCTGCGCACCGTCCCTGTCATCCCACCCCGCATTCATTACCTCTATCTCCAGAATAACTTCATCTCTGAGCTGCCAGTGGAGTCCTTCAAGAATGCCACTGGCCTGAGGTGGGTCAACCTGGACAACAACCGCATCCGCAAGGTGGACCAAAGGGTGCTGGAGAAGCTCCCAGGCCTAGTGTTCCTCTACATGGAGAAAAATCAGCTGGAGGAGGTGCCTGCAGCCCTGCCCCCAAGCCTGGAGCAGCTCAGGCTGAGCCAGAACCTCATCTCCAGGATCCCACCTGGTGTCTTCAGCAAGCTGGAGAAACTGCTGCTCCTAGATCTGCAGCACAACAAGCTGAGCGATGGGGTCTTTAAGGCCGACACGTTCCAGGGCCTCAAGAACCTCATGCAGCTCAACCTGGCCCACAACATCCTGAGAAAAATGCCACCCAAGGTGCCCGCAGCCCTTCACCAACTCTACCTGGACAGCAACAAGATCGAGACCATCCCCAATGGATACTTCAAGGGTTTCCCCAACCTGGCCTTCATTCGGATGAACTACAACAGGCTATCTGACCGAGGGCTCCCCAAGAACTCCTTCAACATCTCCAACCTGCTGGTACTCCACCTGTCCCACAACAAGATCAGCAACGTGCCCGCCATCAGCAACAAGCTGGAGCACCTGTACCTCAACAACAACAGCATCGAGAGTGAGTAGGGGGTCACAGTGAGGGGGTGCTCACCCCCTTTTCCAGGAGCCTGGGGTGGGAGGGTCCTAAAAGTACCCACTGGGCTGGGGTGTAGCTCAGTGGTAGAGTGCTTGTCTGGAGTGCACAGGGCCCCGGATTTGATCCTCAGTGCTATGTTGTTTTTTCAAGTACCCACCTTGGCTCTGGACTTCAAATCTTGGTCCTACCACTTGCTGTATCTGTGTAACATTGAAAACATATCTGTCCTCCCAGGAAGTTTCCTCATGGGTAAGATGAGAATGGTAATAATATCATCTAGGACAAAGTAAACAGGAGAGTGAGGATTGAATAGCTTAATATGGGTTAAGGGTGCAGAACACCATGCTCGGAGGACAGTAGTTCTCTTCTTCTGTCCCTTCTCATCAGAGCCAGCTTCTTTGGCCTCTATACCCATACATCCTGGGTAGACATAGGATACACTCCAGCACACTCTCCTAAAAGGAAAGCAGACACCGAAATGCTCCCCCTGACACGTCCTGGGCCTGCCTGCTTCAAGAGCCAACAGCTGTGGGAGGAAGCAGCTTCCCAAAGCTGAGCACCAGTTTTGAAGCATCTGTGAAAGGGACCCCAAGAGACATCATATACCCAGTGTGCGTAGCTGGTAAAAGTGTGGCAGCTGGGGAAAACAGTGCTTCCTGAGTCTCTTGGGAAAGCTGTAGTATTAGACGGTGCAGTTAAGGGAGAGCTTGCCTGAGCTACATTCAGAGCTCCAGGTTTGGGGTGTCAGTTGCTGCCCAGAACAGGAGGCTGGGAGTTTCCATTTTGCTTCATTCAAAAATGTCAGTTCTGAGCAGAGCATCAGTGGAAAGGCTCAGAAATAGAAGCAAGAGTAATATCTGGTCCTGAACAAAACAGGCTACATTCACACAAGCAGTGCAGCAGCGAAGGGTGAAGGGGGCCAAGGGGAAAGGAAAGGATACCCCCCAAAAAAGTAAGGATCCTTGGTTTCCAATCCAAAGAATGAGAGTTTGTTGAAGTTTCTACCATCTTGAAACAAATGGGTAGAATAGGCCAATTCACTTATCTGGGATAATTATAAGAAGTGGGGAAAGATTATTTCCTTTTAAATCTTGCAAGAAACAAATTCAAAAAAATAGAAAAACTGTCTAATTTTACCCTGCAGGGAGCTATTAAAATGGAGCACATTACCCCCAGGAAGCAGTGTAGGCTGAAGATACAGACAAAAAGGATACCTCAATTAATCAATGGCTGATGTTGCTACCAGATTGTGCAAAAACAGGTTGCTGAGGGCTCTCTCAGCCTTTTGAGGTTGAAGTCAGAAAAATCACACCTCCGCTGCATGTGCCCACCCCCACTCCCACAGCGTGACACTATGTCACTAATGGGCAGAATGGACTGAAGGGCCCCTTGTCAGTGTGACAGTGATGTTTTTAGCAATGCCTGTACTGTGCCACCCGTACTGCCCTGTAGAGTTTGCAGAATGCCTTTACTGCCAGCATTCTCTCATGATATGCAGGGTGGGCAGGCAACATTTGCACCATTTCACAGGTTAGGGAGCAAGCATCAGGGTGGTAAGGCCCAAAGCCACAAAGTCTCCATGGAAAATTCCACTTGGGTCAGGACTCTTGTGCTACTCCAGCAAGGAAGGAAGAAAAGCAGGGGAGGAAGAAGTAAGCAATGACAAGGATGACTCCTCCTTCTCTCCCTTCCCTCCTCTACCTTCACGCACTATAAAGAAAGGCTTAGAAAGAATTTTAAAACATGAATATAATTTAATAGAAATAAAATCTAAATAGAAGACAATATGGCTGATGTCATCTAGCAAGAAGTGAAGGCAAAATGGAATCCCTGGCCATGGACACTTTAGGATCAATAGGTTTGTAATCTCCCCATCCCCCTTTCTGCCGCCTGTCATCTCTAGTTAAGTTCATGTGAACATCTTCCATCCTTCGTCAGGCAAAACATCCGACCCATGGCGAGAACTCCAGAGTGATGCTCACAGGTGTCTGATCCCGCTGCTCTATTGCTTCTCCACACTTAGCTAGATTCATCTTTCTATAGTATAAAACTGATCGTGGGGATCTCTATGGACCCGCTCAGGCTTAACATTGCAGGATGATATTATTCAGATACCCTAACATGTGGTTCTTCAGAGTGAATTGCAGTATCAATTATTGATCATTTCCAACCTAAATGACTTTACAAATGAAGAAACTGAGCCTGGAGGCTAGGGTAACCTGCCAATGGTCACACACTTCCAAAGTCATGCAGTTGGAGAGAGAACTCTATAGAGTCCTCAGTCCTGGTTGTCCCCTCTCTCCCCACTTCCCCTCCCACCAACCCTGCCGCTGACTTTCTTCTTCCCCTGCAGAAATCAATGGGACACAGATTTGCCCCAGCAACCTGCTGGCCTTCCAGGACTTTTCCTCAGACCTGGAGAACGTGCCACACCTGCGCTACCTTCGGCTGGATGGGAACTACCTGAAGCCACCCATCCCGCTGGACCTCATGATGTGCTTCCGCCTGCTGCAGTCTGTGGTCATCTAGGCCCTGCCCTGGCTGGACCTCTGACTGCACTTGAAGGCTGGTGGCCCAGGTGCCTGGCCCACCATTTCTCTCTCTCTCCTTCTTTTATTCCTCCTATGCCTCTCTTATCTCCCCTTTCCAAGGACAGGAAATGCCATGTGCTCTGCTGCAGCTCTGGAGCAAGATTTCCAGCACTTCATTTGGTCCCACCCAGTTGAAAGGCACCCCCTGCACACATGCCCAAACTCCCAGCCTGTTGTGGTGTCCCTCTGCTCCTGAAACACAGTTGACTATGGATTTCACATTCCTTCTTCTCTCCCCCTCCACACACCACTCCTGGGCAAGCCATGGACTGACATCTGATCTTGGTCCTGGCCAAGTATGAAGCAGAAGATGGTCCAGGGAAGTGCACAGTGCTCTTCTGAAAGGCCCTCTGGAGACTCCTCAATCCTAGGTAGCTCTGCCTTAAAGAGGTTGAGAATCCTAGGTCTCCTCAACCAAGGATCTCTTCCCAAATTGTTGCTCTATCACCCTGCTCCCTGGCACTTCGCTGCTCTCTGCCAGCTGCATTCTGCAGGAAGGAGGCACAAGGGGTGGGGCATGGTCCACAAAGCGCTGCATCTGGCCACCTCTGCACTGGGAAGAGTTGGAAGTCCCTCCTTTTCCAGGGAAAACATGGCACACACCCTCCTGGCTGGGCCTGAGAGAGAAATAGCCACGGTAGAGAGAAGCCACTCAAGGAGCTAGGAATGAGCTGGAAGGAGAGGGCGGAGGTCAAAACCCCAGAATGGGCCAATACTATGGGTGTGGATGAGTCTGGCAGAGCCCCTCCCCCAACCTCAACAAGGCCCTGGGGAACACAGTGTTCACATTGGAGGGTCAGGAGGCCCCACCCAACCATCTGTTTTCAGTTAGTGTGGATGGCCCAGTCATTTCCACCACCACCAACTCCCCACCCCCACGGGGGTGGTCTTAGAGACAAGGGTGGAGCACCTGGAAATCTCCCAGAAGCCTCTTCTGCTTGAAAATTGCCCCATCTCCAAGTCAGACACATCAGTGACACCTGGTGGTTGCTGAAAGTTACAACTGATCCAGTCTTCCCATCTTGCCTTTGGGGTGATTGGGGTGATGTTCCAAGGTCAAGGAGCTGGTGTGGGGACTAGCTTGGAAGAGCTATGGGTGATAGGTATGGTGTTGCTCTCCTCTAGAGTAAAAAGGGCCAAAAGTCCACAGTGAGTGTGAGCACAGTTGGGATGACTTTGGGAGCCTGGGTGCAGATGCAGTTTAACTTTGATCTTGCTGGGTCCCTTCCATTGTGAGCTCCCACATCTGTAAACCCAGGCCGGTGGTGACCTCCTCTGAGGTGCCCCCAGCACTGTGGTCCAAGTTTGCCAGTCCACTCTCTAAAGTATACCCTGATACAGGAGAAGTCCTAGCAGTTCTCCCTTCTCTTGCAGTAATTTATGGACGGGCTCTTCCCAGAAAGACTTCTCTGACTTTCTTACCTGGCCCTGGTTAGCAGCTGGGCAGGTGTCCAAGTGAGACCCTCACCTTCACCCCTACCTTATTCTTGGGGGAGCTGCCCCTCTACAGTCCCCTAGTGTATATATTGGTGGGGAATATTGGAAAGAGAAGGCTCTAGAAGTTACTAAGATATAGTACTCACCCTCAAGTTAGAATGGGAAATGCTTAAGAAATTCTTAAGAAATTGGAGTAAGCTGGGCCCTTAACTTCAAGAAATTCCCATTACACTTTTGCTCAACTTTCTCTTCTGCTAAATATAGAAGATAGTGCCCACTTCATCATAGCCTCCTTCCCCTGCCGCTGGTTTCTCCAAGGCTCGTGCTTAAAGTCAGTGTGTTAGTATGGCTGTAAGCAACCTGGTGCTATGCCTGGATAAACCCCTTCCTGCTCCTTACTCACCTAGAACCTCCATCCTTTTGATGAGGCCCTTGGGCACACACAGCCCCTGTGGCTCTCCAGGGGGGCCTGATCCTGCAAACCTGAACATTTTTTCTTAGCAGCCGTGCGGTCACCATTATCCCATTGCCCCATTCAGAATAAGTCTGCTCCCTCCACTGCTCTCTGCAGCTGTAAGACAGAGGAGTGAGAGTCAAAGTGGCTTTATAGGTACCTCCTTCTCTGCACATATACGTGCAAGCATGTGCATGCACACACACACACACACACACACACACAGAGTGTGGGTTTCCCTTGGGTTTAGAAAGTCCCTCCTTGTGACACAAGTTCATTCTGTCAGTGCTACTGGCATCTGCATATACCGGTCAGTGTTTTGGGCATGTACAGATTCAGGTGTGTAAGTAGGTGTGTATGTGTACTCTGTACATTTATTCTCTCTTGCAGACCATGTTAACTTTGAACCAACTTTCCCATTTCACCATGCTTCACAGCAGAGGAAATAAAGTAATATGAAAACACCTTGTTGAACTTGACAATGTGAATAGGTCAAGAGTAATACCCTAAAGCCATCTCCATCCCCATTCCTGGCCCCCACCTCTTATTCGTGTTGAAAAGGACAGTGGAGAAAAGATTTTATTCCTAAGAAACTTCTAAGAAAGCTATCCCAAAGCCTTTTTTGGGAGAATTTCTCCAGAATTCATAACCCTCATAAAAATTATTCCTAAAGTCGGGCCAGAAATCGAATAGCTACATTTGAAGCCCAAAACCACAGATACTAATTATCAAGGGTCTCCCAGTGCTCAGTACCAAGGTGAATGGGGAAACACATAGAACGGTCACCTTCGCTGGCCTAATAAATCTCAGACCACTCAGGGGAACGTAGTAGTGCGCACACGACTCTACGAGAGAACAAAGTGTCAGTCATCTGCAGTGGTCTACAAGTCACGAAGATCAGAAAAGGCAAGAACAGGGTCCCTGAGCTCTCCCTCCTCTCAGAGGAGCCTTAGCTCTGGAAAGGGGATGCCACCCTTGGGTCTGCACCATCTTCTGCAGGAAGTAAACTCCCCAGTTAGGCCCTCACCTCACCCACCCTGTCTGCTACACACCTGCCCTGGTTCAATCCAGCAAGGGTTCAGTGATCACCGACCAGGTGCCACGCTCCCAGCCGAGACTCCAAAGATGGACAACATATGCCCCATACCCTTGAGGAATTCCTAACTTCATAAAGGGAGAAAAATCCACAAATTTGAATTTGTCTTAAGTGTTCATAATCATGCTGTGTTGCACATATAGCGTAGAGGGAGGGAACATTGCCTTTGTCTGGGGGTCAACCAGAAGGCTTCTGTCATTTTTGTTGGTTTCTAGGGGTGAACCAAATCTTGCCTGACTGGAGAAGGGAAAAAGCCCATGACCAGGAGCAAAAAGGGCGGAATGCTGGGGTCTCCCCTGTGGGGAGTCTGTCTTAGAAAAAGGGCCACCTTCCCATCCTGGAGTTATGCTGCTGCCAGCCCTCAGCAGGGAAGATACGCTGTCGTCCAAAAAACAGGAGGGTTCCTGAAATTTCCACAGCTGGGGCAAAAATAGGGTCGGCTGGCCAGACTTCTGTCCACACCAGCTGCCACGTTGGTTCCATCAACACGCTTTGTGCCTCTCCTAATGAGGTAGGAATTAGGACGCCTTCCACCCAGCATACACACCTCCCCGCTCCCCTCCGCAGGCTCTAGGGAGCGAAGCTGCATAGAACAGCGTGCAGCTCACGGGTTCCCACACAGGTCACGCACATCCCGGTGGATACTCCCTGAAATCCATGGGAACGAGCTCATGCAACCGGCTAGCTTGCGAAAGCAAAAATAGAAGCCGGGAGAGGGTCCGCACCCCCGGTGGCTCCCAGGCAGGACTGAAGGAGAGGGCAGCTGGGGCGCAGGAACGAGCTCAGGCTGGCTGTGAGGACTAGAGGGCAAAAGACTCTGTGGCAGGGCAGCGGGGAGGCAGTGCAGCAGGCTTAACCGTGCTGCAGGGCTGTGTCACCAAGCAGGATGGAGGGGTGGGATGGTGGAGGCAGGTGGCAGGAATGAAGCAGCAGTTGCATTTGCATTCCTCTCAGGAACAAATGGCCTGGGCTGGGAGGGGGACGCTCTCCCAGGCTGACTGTGGGGGCGGAGGGGCCCTGGCTGCGAGGCCGGCTGTAGGGGCGGACATGCAGGAGAGCAGCCTGCAAACGCGCCATCTGCCTCCTGAACGACCCCCCTGGTTCCAGGGCTGTCTGTTCTCGGGCCAGCAGAGCCCCTCATGGCGGAGCTCCCCAGATGGTGGGTTCCCCGGGGCAGGGCGCAGGAGCATGCCCTCCCCCTTGGTTCTTGCATTGCGGGAAGGCCCCCTCCCCCAGCAGCTGGTGCCCCTTGGGGAGCTGTTGAGTCTGTGCCTTCGCCTGGGGCTCCAGACACAAGCTGAGCTCTGCCAAGGCCATCTGTTCCCAGGGCCCAAGACATGTGGACTCAGGACTCCCAGGAGGAGGTGGGAAAAAAGGGAGTCAAACGAACACAAAAACCTCTCTGACCTGAGACTCAGGAAATCTTGGTGTTGGCCTTGGCTCTGCGTGCCTGTGAGCAAGTCCTCCCCTCTCTGGGCCTTCCTGGGCCTCAGTTTCCTCCTCTGTAAGCAAGGGTTTGGACTGGGTCATCTTCAGGGGGCCTTGCAGCAGGGATTCAGGATGTGGACAGCAGAAGGAAGCAGAGAGCAGGGAGCATCACTGAAGAGTCTGGCCACAGAGGAGGAGTGCAGGCTGCCAGAGCCAGGGGAGACCCCAGCCTGCCTGAGACCCCAAGGGAAACAGCATCTCTCCCAAAGAGCACATCTACCTGCCTGCACAAGGCTCCGGACCAGAAAGTACTGCATAGGACCCAGCCCCACTGTCCGGGTCCTTCCTCCTGGAGGATCTGGAGGACTTCCTGCATCCTGCTCTGATCACTATCTGTGTACTTGGCTTTCAGTTCCCATTCTACCCCCTGTTCACCTTCTTTTTGTATCACCTGTACCTTCAAACCCTCCCTCCAGTGATTTTGTTGAACATGGTTCCTTGGGGGAGCTGTGGGTCGTGGGCCTGGGTGGTGCCTTGACTCAGCCTCTTTTTTTTTTTTTTTTTTTTTTTTTTGGTTTTTCTCCGGTACGGGGAACCGAACTCACGACCTTGCGCTTGCCAGGCAGGCGCTTTTGCCGCTGAGCTAAATCCCCAGCCCGGGCTCAGCCTCTTTGATCTTGGGATTCCTATATGAAGCAGAGCATTGTCATTCTTGGTGTGAAGAAACACAGCTGGGGGGTGAGCTCTGTCTCTCCATCCCCTCAATCCAGCCTTCCCAGGAGTTCAAAATCCGAGGGATGAGCATTCTTCCTCCTGTCTCTCAGACCAGCTATTATTTTTAAGAGGGTGGATCAGGAGAGGGACCCCAGAGCAGGGAGAAGGAAAGAGGAGGAATTCTGGCTCATCAAGCAGAGGAATGTGAATGGAGACCCCCTAAGGAAGGAGGAGGGGAAACAGCAGGATCAGAGTGACAGATCTGATTGGACAGTCAGCCTGGCTTCTCCTCCATCCTCCAGCCAGCTGCTGCTGTCTAACCCCAGCCCTAGTGCAGTCAACCAGTCCAGCAGGGTCCCCACCACTCTGGAAGCTGCTGGGCTCCATTGAGAGCCAAAAGCATCTAAAGGTAAGGTGCAAGGGGCTGGGGATTTAGCTCAGCGGCAAAGCGCCTGCCTGGCAAGCGCAAGGTCGTGAGTTCGGTTCCCAGTACCGGAGAAAAACCAAAAAAAAAAACAAAACAAAACTAAAGGTAAGGTGCAAGGTTGGAGGTCTTAGGCCCACTGGTATGCAAATGCTTACAGATCATGTAGTTGGTTGGGATGGAAAGTGAGGTGAAGAGACATCTCTGGCTACTGCTGGGCCCAGCTGAAATTAAGAAGGAGGAAGACCTACCGGACACATGTGCAGCTGGCTTTGGGGAGGGGGCATTATCATGCTGGCCGTGCCTGTGCACATGCTTCAACACCACACCGCACGCATCTCTCCATCTGTGTGTGCACTCGTGGGGGAACTGCAGGAACATTCGTATTCATTCGCACACCACATACAGGCATAGTCATCCATGCACACACACGGGTTTACATTTATCTGGGGACACTCCCACAACCACACACAAAGAACTCTCTTACATCTATAGTCATCTGTCTCTAAAAAGCTGCATTTCCAACTCTACTTTAAGAAGCTGTATTCTTTCTTCCATGGCAAATCAAATTGTAAGTCATCTCCAGATGGACTAAGGGTTACTGAGAAGGGATGTCCCTTATTCATTTCTGTCCTCCCAGAGGCAAGCCCAGTGCCTGGAGCTACACTGACACCCCATAAGTGTTTGATGAGCAGCAAGCCTATGTGTGGTGTCTGCATGCATGTGGACTGGATACCACTGTGGCATGCCGCAGGAGTAGAGTGGCTAGAGATGTCTCTAGGTGAAGCCCCAGCTTTTGGGGAGGCCGCAGGTGGGAGGGGGATGCTGAGTATGATGAATGGCAAGAGTCTGTGGGAGTGCAGCTGGGAAGCAGAGTAGTTTTGGTTTTTCTGTTGTTTTGTTTTGGTTTTTTGGTACCGGGAATCGAACTCAGGACTTGCCAGGCAGACACTTGTGCCACTGAGCTATAACCCTGGCCCAGAAGAGTAGTTTTAAAAGCTGTCCTCACAGAGCTTGAGAAAGCTCAGGCAGATGCCCTTCCTCCTGCCCACAGCGTAGGACCGGAGATTCTCATCCCTGCCCCACCGCTGGAACCCCCATGAGGCTCTCAGCTTTCCTGAGTGTGCTCAGCCTGGTGCTGCAAGAGGCAGGGACAGCATCTGTGCCACACCGGAAGAAGAGGAGTGAAGAGCCACACCACAGCAAAAGCCTGAGTCTGAACAGCTCCAGTGAGGTCACTGACCTGAGAAACTATGAGGATCATGAGGGGCTCGCAGACTTCAGGGACCCTGAGGTAAGGGACACAGTAGGCTGACCACATGCCCTGAGAGAGGGGTCGGGGCTGGTTCTTTTCCACCTCCAGCTCTTTCTCTAGAGTGCAAATTTTCATTCCTGTTCTTGCGCGGGAACTTGTCTCTTACATAATACTGAGAAAGAGGATGCAGATCTCTAATTTCTTGGTCCATTTGTAGCAAACTTGGTAGGACCTCACCCCTAAGGTCATACATTCCTCCACATGCCACCAAGCAGGATGATAAGCTATGTGGCACTGGGGCAAGGATCAGCCGTGTCCTCAAATTCTGCCCAGAAAAGGAAATGTCATCCCAGCCCCGTCTCTTTCCTTAGACTGTCCTCCGGCTGGAGTTCCCGGCAGCATACGTGGCCGCTGCAGGGGCTGACCTGGGCAGCCTCCGCCGTGCGTGGGGTGAGCTGGGTTCGTGCAGAGCAAGGGGAGAGCACAGCCTGGAAAATCCTGAGAACCAGGTTCTAGCTCTGCCTTGCTGCCGACTGGCTCCCTAATCCTTATCCCTCCCTCTCTGGGCCTCAGTTTCCTCCTCTGCATAATGAAGACGCTGGGCCCGACACACTCTGAGTTTCCTTCCTGGCTCAGACTCTTTACTCTACCTCCCTTCTTCCCACGGTGACACTGCAAGTTTGAAATTGGTCACTGAGGTTCCCGGAAGCCAAAGTTAAATCCTTCTCTGGTCCCTACTGTGTGCTGTCTCCAGGTTAAAGTGACCAGCCCAGCTCCTCCAACCAGGATCGGTCCCGCCCAGAACACTATAGCTGCAAGAACACCGTCATCCAACCCCGAGATGACCAGGCCTACCTCGCCAACTATGCCAGGCTTACTGGGCTCCCCAACCAGCCAAGGTAAGTACCCAATCAAATGGTCACAATATCCATCAGCTGTAGGCTAAGAAGCCATGATTCAGAACCAGGGGTTACCCAAGTGGAGTGTGGGCATGGCTAAGATTGGCCTTTATCAGCAGAGAGAGGAAGGGAGATAATCACAGTAAGAACAGGGAACAAAAACCCGAAAGGAAAGGCTGGCTACCCGCAGTACTTCTGTGTGAAAGCAAAATTGGATGGGAAGCAAAGCGATGCAAGAACTCCCCGATGCCCCAGCAAACCACCCTCCCTTAATTAACAGCATCACTCGGGAAGCAGGTTGAGTGGTAATTAGATTAGAGACAATTAAAAGCCTGTAGAGAAGAATAAATAACTTTGTGGCTGTCACTTGGTATGGGGGCAAATGAAGCAGTCACACAGCTTTCAGCATCGAGTTTCCCTCCTTAGCAGCTCTCTCTCCTTCCCCGGTGCCTTCCTGGAGACTGGAATGCTGGTGTCACAGCAGTGAGGGCTTCATACTCTGTGGGGATCAGAGACTGGGGTGGTGGACGGGTGCGACTCATTCTAGACTTGCTGGCTCTCAGCGTCCCTGGTGTCCTCTTGGCTTGGGAAACCCAGGGTGCTGGGACATCCGCCAGAGGCATTCGTTCGGGCATCTGTGTCACCTCAGAGCTGCTAGAGTCTCAGGCTTGAAGAGACCATACAGTGCCTTGCTGGACCTACCGTGTGAGGCCTACGGATAAGATGGGAAACTGCCCCTCCCCGCCCCACTTCACCTGGTCATTGCTGCCAGACAGGAGCTGTGTCACTGCTGCTAGTGTCCTTCCTGGAGTGGGGCTAATGCTGATTTCTCAGTGAGCTTGGCACCTGTGATAGCATGTGACAGAAAGGTCCTGCACTGCTCATTTCTGTGAGCCAGTGAACTCTTCCCAGCCTTTTATAGCCGGTCTCTGTCAGATGGCCTGGCCTCAGTCTCATGACTGTGGGCTACAGAGATGAGGCCATAGGCTGAAAACAGGAGAGGGCTGTTCCCCAATAAAAACTGGGTGCCAATGCCAGAAGAAGTGGAGATGGATAGCAGGCAGGCACTGTCCACCCCACCATGGCTTGGTTACGCTTCTCGGAGCCACACAGACTACGTCCAACCCCTGCACCCAAGGCAGCAGGCAGAGGCCCCCTGCTATTACACTCCACTGTGGCTTTATTTCATCCTTACTGTATTTTTTTGGACCAGAGAGGATCCCTATGGAAAGGAGACTGAGAGCTGAAGTCTTGAAAACAGCCACATAAACCCAGGAAAGCCTACAAAAGCCAGGGCTTGAGAGAAGCAGGGTAAGCCTGATTCTCTTAGGGCTAGGACCAAATGTCACTCTGAGGGCAGACAATCGGTTCTGGTCCACATCCCACAGGCCATGAAGAAGACACTGATGACCATGGCTCAGACTCCCTAGGTTGAGGCCACTGGCCATAGCAGCTGCAGCAAAGCCTGACCAAGGCTCTCCCTCTCTTCTGTCTTCCACCTGGCTCAGGCCTGCCCACTTGCCTGGTCTGTGTGTGCCTCAGTTCCTCTGTGTACTGCGATGACACTGACCTGGAAAACATTCCTCCTCTCCCCCGGATGACCACCTACCTGTATGCCCGCTTCAACCGCATCAGCCACATCAGGGCCGGAGACTTCAAAGGGCTGAGTACGTATGCCCAAGAAAAGGACAGAGGGGCCAGGCAGGTGGAATGACCAGGGTCCTGTCCCCTGCACTCAATCAGATATTGTTAGCCTCAACCTGTGTCATCTCTTCCCTGTTAGCTCTGTCTGACCGGTTGCTGAAGGAAGAGAGCGCCCAAGTTCTTTTTCCTTTCCTGGAAAAGTCTAAATAGTGGAAGTAGCCCGTTTTCTCCCAAAGAGCTCAGAAGGGAAGGTGCAGTCAAGCCAACATTTTCAGGATGTCCCAGCAACTATAACTCTGTTGACCTCTGGACAGGACCATCCTAAATCTACTCTCAGGGCTCTGATACTGTTAGGCTGGCAGTTCTGTTACTTTATTTTTTAACTTTACTTTTTGTATTTTGTCTTTTTGAAACAAGGTTTCACTATGCAGTTCAGGCTGGCCTTGAACTCACTTTGTAGCCCTGGCTGGCCTCAAACTCTTGATGATCTTCCTGCCTCAGCCTCCTGGGTGCTGGGATTACAGGCGTGCGCCACCATGCCCAGATGTTCTGCTATTTTAGATAGGAGACCCGGGTGCTACTCCAACTTCTACCACTAATTACACTCAGCCTTTCTGGGCTTCGAAGCCCTTTGTGTAAACTAATAACTAATGAGTGGGGCCATGTCCAGGGATTTCTGGGCTTTTTGGTTCTTGCCTGTGAAAGGATTCTTCCAATCAGATGCCAGGTAGTCAGCTACATCCCAGTATCAAACTCCAGTGACAGGTACTGAGGAGTCTGAGAGCTTTTCTTAGACCGTTATTTCCTCTGCCTTGGACCTAGCACAGGGAGACCCTGGTTAACATTCCCTGATACCGAGGGGGAAGGGCAGGGTGGAGACAGACCAACAGTGGGGGAGGAAAGACTGTGTGCTCCAGCATCTCCTTATCCTTTCCCACCCCCATCCCTCAGCAAAACTGAAAAGGATTGACCTCTCGAGCAACTTCATCTCCTCCATCGACAACGATGCCCTCTACTCGCTGCCAGCTCTGCAGGATCTGATCCTGTCAGAGAACCAGCTGGCAGCTCTGCCCATGCTGCCCAGTGGCCTTGAGCTCCTGGATGTCCGCCTGAATCGGCTCCAGAGCTCGGGGATACAGCCCAGGGCTTTTGGGGTGAGTCTGCCTTACACCACCTGCCCCATCCCTACCCTCAGTATCCCACAGGGTTCCCCGTCCCATCCTTGTTCTGGGCTTAAAAATCCAGGCCCATTTTTTTTTCTTCCTTTTCTGTGTGTTGCTTATTAAATGTTCTCTGGGTTGGCAGACAGTCCCTCTGGCTCAGGAAGAGGATTTTTTTCCAACATCCCACCCTAACAGTCTCCGTGAATGGGGAGCACAGTACTACCAGGCCTCATGAGCCTGTTACTGGGAATGCGGAGCATCAGAAACCAAGACCAACAGCCCTCCCTCTCCCTCTGTGGGCCTCACAGCACCTGCTTTGCCGTTCGCCCTCTGCGCACCAGTATGCTTGGGATACTCACAGGCTCTGCCCGCTGTGGAAACCCCAGCTTGCCCATGGCTTGACTTGCAGTTGTGCCGACTCTAACCCTAATGCCTACCTATCATTTTGTTTCCCAAACCCACTGCTAGGTGACCGGCCTTGTCTCTGTAGGATCGCAAGGATCGCATTCTCAAGAGGGACAATCTGAAGGGTCACTGGTTGGCCCGTTTTGATGGAAAGGGGGAAATCACATGGCACAAGCACAGCCCACTCCACAGGGTTGGGAAGAGCTGGCACAGTTCTACTGAGCAAGTGGAGCAGAGTGTGGACAAGACTGACCACGCTTCCTCCCCAGGCGCTAGCTGCCTGGTTAGGAACAGCCTTCAAAGACTGTATCCCCTTCATTTAGATGCCCTTTGTCACTTTCTTAAGTACAGGCACACAGTTGGTGACCTTTCCATCAACACTGGATGACATATATGGAGTGGGCCCCTAAGGTTGTTTACCTAGCGCTGTTGTGGCTCTCTTAGTTTGTGTAAGTGTATTCTGTGCTCTTCATGTGAAATTGCCTAATGACACATTTCACAGAACACATCCCCATCATTAAGCAATGCAGACGATAGTAAACTTTTTGCAAGCCGATCCACATTTACAAGCATCAAGTCAAGTCAAACTTTTCTTTTTCCAGTGCTGGGGACTGAACCCAGGAAGTACCAAGCAGTCTCCCAGCCCCCACCCCACCCCACCCTTTTCTCATTTGCTTCATTTTGAGACAGAGTCTCATTCTATTGCCCAGGCTGGCCTTGAACTTGCGATCTTGCTGCCTTAGCCCCCAGAGTAGCTGGGATTATAGGCATGAACCGCTCTTCCTGGCCAGAGCTGCTTTTTGAAGCAGGCTGAAGGCAGAGTCATGCCTTATTCCCTCTGCCATCCCAACCCCTCAACATTTTTTGCCCCCTGTGCTGGTCTTGGGGGAGGATGCGCGACAAAGTGCCCATACCATTGCTGTGGAGACAGAAGCTCTGCGTACCCTCGGGCCTCAGTTTCCCAAGTGCAGGGCTGTGACTGCATGATTACTGAGCTCCCTCCCTCACTGGCCCAGCTCTAAGCAGCATTGGGCTGTCTCTGAGTTAGAAGGAATCTCTTTGCCCTGTCTCAAGACTGTTTTCTCAGCCTAGGATGAGGCTGGAGGTTTGGAGCCAGAAGAACTGGGGCTCCTGGGTGAGTCACTTCACCCCTCTCATCTTGTTTCCTCGCCTGCAAAATGAGGACAATGCTTCTTATTTGACACTGTTGCTGCAGGATTCAATACGACAGCATTTACCCGGAGCGCAGGAAGATGACATACAGATAGCAAAAGGTCCATAAATGGGAGCTATTATTCTTCACTGCTCTCAGAGCCCCCACAGGCTTATCTCTCCCCAGTCCAGCTCCCTTTAGCCCTACCTGGTTCTGATCGTGCTGTTCCTCACACACGGGCTGCCTCTACGTGCTTCGGGGTTCTCGTCCCACAGGTCCGAAATCTACTGAGCATGCCACCAACTCTGCTGCAGGATTAGCACCAGGCAGATCCCTCTGATGGCGGAGAAGTTGAGGCTGAGCTGAAATGTCCTTTGGTCCTCCCTCTTATCTGCCCTCCTGGCCACCATCACAGCCTTCCACTCCCTCCCCTCCCCACTGCTAGCACATCAGCTCCGCTCCTGCCTCCTCTGGAGTTGATGTCTCTTAGCTCCTTAAAGACGCAAATGCTCCCACCCACCCCCAGCACCCAGCACAGAGTCTGGTGTATGGCTGAGGCCAAGTAAACCTGGAGTCACCAAAGGGGGTACCCGACTTTGGCCTTGTCAGCACCTCCCTGCTCCCAAGGCCCACCAGGAGCACCCTCCTCCAGTGCTATCTGTGTCCCACAGGCCCTGGCGAAGCTGCAGTTCCTCTTTCTGGCAGACAACTTGCTGGACTCCGTCCCTGGGCCTCTGCCCCTAAGCCTGCGCTCACTACATCTGCAGGTGAGGGCCTCTGCCGGGCGGATAACACAGCCAGCTCATAGAGGGATGGGCCTCGGCGGCTGGGGTGTATTGAGGGCAGGGTCTTGTCTAGACAACTGTCTGTGGCCCTCATTTAATTTTCTTCATTTTTTTCCTCCACCTGCCCTCCACCTTTTTAAAAAATATACAACTAGGGATTTAACCCAGGCCCTCACACTGAGTGACATCCCCAGCGCCCCCCCTTTTAATTTTTGAGTCAGGGTCTCACTAATTTACTAAATTGCCAAGGCAGGACTAGAGCTTGTGAACCTTCACCCCGACTCCCAGAGTGCTGGAATTACAGGCATGGGCCACCATGCCCAGCCCTCCATTTCTTCATTTATAAAACACTGTCTCTCTGTGTCTTTATTTCATCTCACCTACCCACTTTTCCTTTCCTCTTTTCTTGCTTTCTGTTTCTCCTCTTCTCCTACCATCAGTGCCTCCAGCTTTCTACCTCCTTCCTCCCTTCACCGCTCTTAACCTCGCCCCTCCTCCTCCATGGCATCCTTGTCTCATCCCTTGCTGTGTGGCCTCCACATTCTGTGCCTTGGTTTCCCTGTTGCCCAGGAAAGATAGAGCTGGTGGGAGTGACTGATGTGAGTTTTCGGAGAGAGGGACCTCTGGGCAGGGACTCAGCTGCAGCCTGTGCTTTGCAGAATAACGTGATAGAGACTATGCCAAGAGACGCCTTCTGTGACGTGGAGGAGCACAGACACACCCGCAGGCTGCTGGAAGACATCCGCCTGGACGGGAACCCCATCAACCTCAGCCTCTTTGCCAGCACCTACTTCTGCCTGCCCCGGCTCCCCATTGGCCGCTTCACCTCGTCCCGCAGTCCTCTCCTCCCAAGTAGAGCCCACCGAGGGCACATGGCACCCGGCCCCCAAGCTAAACAGCACTAGACAGCCTCATGATCCAGTTGCAAAAATCACTTCAGCCCTACACACACACACACACACACACACACACACACACACACACACACTGCAGCGTCCTTCAGTAGCCAGATTTGCATTTCCCCCTCCTCTTTCCTTAACACCTTATGTCTCCTGGCTCAGAGAAGAGCAGCGTCTGCGGTAGAGCTCTTCCATATTCCCTTCCCTCCTGCCCACACAGAACGTCAGGAAAGCCATGAACCAGGAGGAGGAGGAGAAAGAGGAGGCAGAGGATGGAGAGGGAAGGAAGAGGAGGAGAAGCAGCCGTGGGCTGGAGCCAGCTCTTACCAACTACCGGGCTTGCAAGGAACTGATGATTAAATTTTCTAGAATCTTGAAAGACAATTGTTAAACACTGCCATTATGAAAAAGTAAATTATATAACCTCACAATTAAATGTATTATATTGAAAACAAATGTAATAAATACTCATCACTTCTCAGTTGTTTTACTCTCTTTCACTCTTAAACATGCCCCTGAAGTTATTTATGTCTGTGGTACCTGTGTGGTGGAATTCAATCTAATGGGACGCTACTTGGTACCTCTTCCCAAATCTTTGTTCAGCACCTCACATTGGTGTTCGAAATTGGCCACGGTGGGAGATTTACACCATGGAGTCCATAAATGCTACAAACCAGGTTTGGTTTTGGTTTTTAAGGGCTGGTTGTTAAAAGCTCGCCAGCACACCACAGAGGAGACAGAATAGCTATTTAAGCGAGTCCTTCTCTACCTCTACGCTGTCCCGGGGGAGTGAGCAGAGGCTCCTTAATGTCTTGCTCTTCTTAGGCTGGAGCCTCTTGAGAGAGTGGGAGGGAGCCATCCAGAAAGATGGAGAATGGTCCTGACTCTCCTCCATTTAGGTATCAGGGACCTTTTCCCGGGGATGGGCCAGGCTCGGCCCGCTGGTGTACAGCCACTAGGATTTCCATCCTTCCCATTCTAGCCTGCAATGTTCAGCCAGCAGAGGGCAGCCTTGGGCAAAGATAATAAATAAATAACTATAGCCATTGCCTGCAGTCTTTCTGGGTGCTGGGCAGGGCCCACTGTGCTGGGTGGATGGAAAGAAGAGCAACTATTATCCAGCTGACTTGTTCCTTGAATGATAAAGGATGGGAGATATGGGTCAAGGGGACGTGTTGGTTGGTGCTTGGCACCTAGTGTCGGAGGCATGTGTAAAAGATGAGGCCGGTAGTTCCTACGCTCAGGCAGCAGAGGTTTTCTGGAGCACCCACCTGCTGTATGCCCCGCACAGTGTCACATGCTGGTGACAAGATGGTGTACAGAAGATATACTCCTTTTCCTCATGGAGCTTCTACTCTGGTGCAGAAGACAGGTGTTAAACAAATGGCTCACACAATATTTGACTTACAATAAGTGCTCCACAGGGAATATACAACATTAGAGGGGTTTATAAGAGGGGGCCATATCTAAGGGTCCAGAAGACTTTTTTGTAGCACTGACATTTAAGCTGAAGCCAAACATGGAGTAGGAGGCTGGCGAAGCCTTGGGTTTCGAAGGTAACCACTCAGGGTCCCAGGGGGTCCTTGAGTCTGGAGGCAGAAGTGTTTCTTGGGGGCCACATGGATGGGAACCTATTAATCTGCCTGCCCCCACCTGTCTAGCACCTCACCAAGCACTTTGGATCCGCCTGACAATCCTGTAAGCTGACGAGTCAGGAATTATTAGTCACATTCCTCAGATGAAGAAATCGAGAACTAGAAAAGATGAATCACTTACCCAGCTTACACGACTGACTGATGCTTGGACCAGAGCTGCGTGCACTGCCTCCCAAATATGGCAGTGGGGAGCCTCGTGATGCTGCGCAGGCCTCCTTCTCCTTCTCTCCTAGAGACAAAGAAGCCCAGCACAGCCTGCTCCAGGGAGGGCAGGGAAGCGATGAGCTTCCTGCCCCTCGACTTTCAGACACTAGAGCTCTCGCTGGTTGCAGAGTTTGTGTGTGTGTGTGTGTGTGTGTGTGTGTGCGCGCGCGTGTGCATGTGTGTACCTCTGTGTGGGTTCCAGCTCTCTGTGTAGGTGTGTGTCCAGCTCTGCATTTTTCTCTATTTTGCTTCCTGTTCTCTTTTTCTCTTCCTCTCCTCTCCACCCTTCCTCCCCTCTCTCATATCCCATTTTCCCCCTCCATAACCTATAGGATTATGAAAAGCCTCAGCCTGCAGCAACGCAAAGTCTCAAGGTCTTCAACTTTAAGAAAACCCTAGATTGAAGGACCCCCCCACACACACACACACATCCCCCAAATAAATAAATAAATGAAAGAGATCTTCCAGAATAGGCTCTTAGGCACTAGAAGCCCAGTCATCTCCAGATGTTCACAGTGAATCTGTACATACAAAAGGGTCATCAGATTCCTGCCTGAGTGCAGGAGGAGGCGACCAGCAGTTCCCGGCCTCTGCTGCCTTCCCTGGGGCCACCCTGTGTACTTGTAGGATTTCCCCAAGGCCGCGCCTCCGCATCTGTCTTCTGACTAATCCCCCAGTTTTGGCTGGGGAAGCCCGAAGAACAGAAAGAATGCCCTTGTTGGCCGTCTCCCCAAAGAAATTCTAAACGGAGCATCTGTCCCTCACCCCAAGGGCGGGGTGGGATCCTCTGCTGCATCCTGTCTTCTATGATGGAGCTGGGCTCCAGGGCGGCTCAGACCTAGAGCAGGCAGGGTGGGCCACCACAGTTGAGTAGAGGCCCTCCTGGCCTACAGAATGGAGATGGTGAAACCGGCCAGGAGGGTGAGTGCCAGCCAGGGCTGGGAGAAAAGGGAATGGAGGCCAGGAGGGAAACAAAAGGTCGGGGCAGCACGGCGGCCAGCCCAAGTATCTCACCACCCATGCCAGCCAGTAGTCTAGGTTGCCCAAGATGCCAACTCCTCCCAGGGTCACACTTGCCTGGTCTCACTCATCCTGGTCCTCAGAGGCCAGTCAGCAAGTCCATCTGCACCCGCTTCTGACCCTGAGGACAGAACCGGCCACCAGCCCTGCAGGGAGGGGAGCCCCTCGCTCCTCAGCGATGCCCCAGGCCCGAGCACAGCCACCCTCACCTGTTGGGAGTGTCCAAGGAGGCGGAGGGGTAAAGCCAGGGCCCCTCTTCTCTATAACAAAGAAAGGGTGATCTGCTGCTTGAGCCAGATGGTGAATTTAGCTGGAGCCAAATCTATCTCGGGGGCCTGGAAGGCTTCCTCCCCCACCTCCCCTGGGGACCTCCTTCCTGCCTCCTTTTCCCTTTAGCCTCCTGCTGGGAATGCTCATCTAGTTCAAGTTACAGATTTATACTTTTAAATCTTTTTTCCTTTTCTTTCTTTCTTTCTTTCTTTCTTTCTTTCTTTCTTTCTTTCTTTCTTTCTTTTCTTTCTTTCTTTCTTTCTTTTCTTCCTTTCTTTGTGTGTGGTACTGGGGATTGAACTCAGGGCCTTGTGCATGCTAGGCAAGCACTCTACCACTGAGCCACATCCCCTGCCCTAAATCTCTTTCATATGGGATCTAATTCCATGGTCCCAACCACCTAGTGAGGAAGGAATTCTTATCTCTACAGAGAGAAAATGGGAGGCGACAGGCTTTGTCCAAGAAAAAGATGACAAACAGGGTAGAATTTGCAAAAACAAGATGGGGCGGGGCTCTGTGGGGGAGGTCATTGCTGAAATTCTGCAGGAGGCGTGGGAATTCCCACCTAGAGCAGATTAGTGCCCAGAAAGTTTTATTTATTTATTTATTTGGGTCGTTTTGTTTTGCTTTGCTGCAGTGCTGGGGTGGAACGGAGGGCCTTGTACATACTAGACAAGGGCTGAACCACTTGGGGTGTTGTACTATACCCCAGTTCCCCAAAATACTTTGAAAATTAAGGCCTGGGAAGGACATCTGCCAGGCTGGAAAAGGTGTGCCCCGGGGGAGCCCGAGTCGGCAGGCACCAGCGGGAGAACAGCCTGCACCCTCAGGGCCCAGGGAAACCCCGGGCTCAAGGTCACACTGTCCCCATACCTCCCCACCCCCACGCCCCTGTCTGCATCCTTCTCCCTTCTGACTAGGAGGGAGGCAGACAGGAGGTGGCCCCTCTCTGTCTAGATCCTCTCAGCATCCTTCTTCCTCCTCTCGCCCTCCCGCTTCCCCCAGACACCCCCTCAATTCTCTATTCCGCCTCTCCTCTCTTTCAAGGTCGTCTCTGCCTGGCCAGCCAGCAGACTTCAGTCTCTAGCAGCCAACCTCTCACAGGCCCCCTCCCGCGGTCCCCGCAGTCCCCGCAGTCCCTGCAGCTAGGCCAGGATCTCTGTGTGGTGGAAGGATGCCTGTTTACATTCCGCTCGTCCTCCCGCCCACGACCTGGGGTGACAAAGCAGCCAGGGCCACCTCCCTCCTGCCTGGCTGCAGTGAAAGCCCTCATCAGACCTCCACCTCAGCCTCAGCCTCAGCCTCAGCCTCAGCCTCAGCCTCAGCCTCAGCCTGGTTCAGCCTGCGCAGCCCTTCTGTGCAGTGAACCTGCGCACCCCTCCAAGGTCACTGTCACCTTCCCCTTGTCCCCTTCCAGGCCCAGACCCTGGAGAAACAGCTTTAGCCTCCTCTTGGCACCGCCCACCCAGCCCTGTCCCGAGTCCCTTTCTCCTTTGTCTCAGTTCAGGCACAAGACGACCTGGAGGGGCTCAGGCTGTGGCCACCTCTGAAGGAACTGAGGGGCAGCAGAATGAGCCATGAGGGTCCAACATCTGGGATTTGACCACCGGGTACCTCGCCTTGCAGTGAACATGAAAATCAGCACGTAACTCCGTCTTCCACCCTCCTGGTGAGGCTCCTATCATACAATTCTGATGCTCAGAGCGAATCCCAGCCCCAGGGGCATGACGCCCAGCCCTATTACGACACGTAGTCCGAGAACTAAGACCAACCCTCTCCTACCTACCATGCCCTGAGGCAAGACCACTGAGACAGAGAAGCATCTGAAGATGAAAGGGAGGAAGTGCAGAGAATTTACCAGGCACAGACAGCCGGCCCCCAGCGCCAGGCTCTGATTCTGCATCAAGCACTGCCTGGCCTCCAGCTGCCTCTGCTGCTGGCCCTCTTGCCCTATCGCTGGTCCATGCAGCAGAAGGCATGCCCCAAGCCCTCCAAGCACATGCTGACCACCCCGACACCATGGCTAGCAAAGACTGAATGGTGCATTGCCCATAACCAACGCCCCTCAAAGATTATAACTTGCAGTCTCAAAAGAGGGACTCCTCCCTTCCAGAGCATCCTTTTCCCCCAGCCCAGGGCAGGTTTTGAAGTCCACGTCTGCAAGACTAATGGTGTCTTTCAGCGTAGAAGAGGTCAGTCTGCACATAAGTTCCTCCGGAAGTCAGCAGATCAGAACATCACCCCGGCAGACATGATAGCAGGCACAAAAAGATGGGCAGCTGGCAGAAATGTAGTATTCAAAGGACCCGAGAGCCATTGAGTCCTTCAGTCCATGCTGCCGGCATGGCCTTTGTCTAGTGCAGATGGGGTTCTCTGCTCTGGTTTAAGCCAGGGTCTGAGGTCCAGGCTGCAGAAAGCTACCCCGCCACCATGGGTAAGGCACTGTGCCCAGCCTTGGACTAGCCCTTGGCATTGTATGCATCATCAATCCAATGAGATAAGCATTGCCCCAATTTTATACAAGGACTCAGAGGGGTTCATTTCCTTGCCTAAGGTCACACACCAAGTAAGAGGCAGAATGGAATTTCCAACTTGGCCTGTCTGCAAAGCCCTCCAGCCCTCCTGGATTGGAGCTGGGTGTCTGACACACGTGCTGAATCATGTCTTGTTTCGTGCTTTCTCTGGGAACCTTGCTTAGAACACACCCAATAAATACTGTGCCAGACCAGCTCCACCGCATGGGAGGAGGCAGATGTGCTACAGAAATCTGACCATAAATGACCCCTTCTCCTCACCTCCCTCTCCTAATGTCCCCAACTAGCGGCACCTACCACCTGGATTTCCCCTCCAAACCTCTCGGGGTAGCTCTCCGTCCCCACACCCACCCTCTTCCTATCTATTGTCTCTGAGCCCGGCTTTTGGCTCCTGAGCTCCTATTCACTGATTTCTTTCCACTGCTTGGGGCCTGCGTACAATAGGCTCTTCCTGCTTATTGGTAAACAGAATCACTGCAAGGCCCAGTGGCGGGGCCCTGACAAGACCAAGCTCTGGAGCCTCTCTCCTGTCAGTCCCCTGGTGGAGACAGGAACTGCAGAGGTGGCCCAGTCCACACTGTTTTTACACAGCCGCATCCCTGCCATCCTTGTGCACTGTGGCTGGGGGACCAGTGGGTTTAGCCCCAAATTTGCAATGCCTTTCCTCCCAAGGAGTCCGGAACTGCCCACCCTCCCTTACTTGGCATCCTGAAGGAGAGGTGGGTGGGGAGGCCCTTAGCTTGTTTGCTGCCATCACCCAGCGAGGTTGTACTGCCGCATATCCAGGTGAGCCCTGCCAGGTGGGTGGTGTTTTCCAAATAACTTCTATGATAGCCTGCAAACATAGAGACAACCAAGGCAAAGACTTCAACAGCCAAGGAGCAAGCACACACAACGCACCCCAAACAGAGTGGCCAACCGCAGCTGAGGGTCTCAGACACTGCAGGGGACCTGGCAACTCCTGACCAGCAGGATCCCCCCTTTCACTGGGAGCCTGAGTCTCCATTTGCTGAGCTGGGAACAGACACCTCTGAGTCTGCAAGGCCCGTGGACAGAGATTCCCACAGATCCAGCCCTGCCTCTGCCTTCGTGTCTCTAGCGTCCCTTGACTCTGTGGATGGCTCTTTATTAAGTGCCAGAGACATCATCTTAATAAACAGACAGGTCTCTTCTCAGTAGGGGCACATAAGACAACAGAGGAAACAGGTAACCCTCACAAATAAACGATTTCACTCAGACAGGAAGTGATGCTAGAAGGGAAACAGCCAATACAGCGAGTGGAAGCTGGCACCATTAGGTGTGGCAGTCAAGAAGTTTCCTGCAGTGGTGATGGAGGAGCTGACATCTCCACCGGAAGAAAGCAGCAGCTAGTGAAATGGTGGGGGACATGCTCCAGGCAGAGGAGACGGAGGCGCAGAGGCCCTGAGCAGAAGCAACATGGCAAGCTCAAGGAGAGGAGAGGAGGCCAGGTGAGGCCAGTGAGCAGCCAGAGCTGGGGGTGGGGAGGGGACAGTGGCAGCTGGCCCTGAGCAGTGAGGGCTTGTAGGGTTTTATTGTAAGTACAATGGATCCTTCTCTGAAAAATTTAGTGACCTCAGTCCCTGTTACTCATACTAAAAACACAAGGCAGGAGGGAAGGGAGTGTGATTCACAAAGCGGAGGGTGACAGTGACCAGAGAAAACATAACCTTTTAAGGAGAAAGGATCTACTGCTTGGCTACCAGGCCTGGGGAGGGTAATGGGGGGCTGCCATGGAGAAAGGAGGGCCCAGGAGCCCTAGGGAAGAGCTGGAAGAGGGAGGGAGAACTCCAGCTTCCTCCCAGGAGGTGAGGACTTTGAGGAGGGGCAGCAAGGAGCATTTTAAGGGAGGTTGGTTGGTTTAATGGGTTGCCTTTGGTCACAGTCTAGGGAAGACTCGTTCAGGGGCTCACTGTGTCTCCAGGCTTCAGAGTCTGATGGGGACCCCCTTGGACCGGAGCAGGCAAGGACGTCTTCTGTTTTGCTACAGCAGAAGTGGGGGCCCCTGCCCTGCTGCTACCCCATGGAGAGGAACAGAGGAGGCAGGTCGTCCCTAACCCTCACTCACTACTGTGTGCCTCGAGCAAGCCGGTCTGTTCCTCTCTTTCCTTCCTCTGGCCTGAGTGGATTAGATTCTGCGATCTGGAAGGTGCAGACTGTCTGTGAATCCATGAATCCATATGTTCTTCTGCTTTCTCACAGGGAAGATATTCAGAGACAGGAGCAGATGGGCTTGGAGACCAGCGACTGATCCCAGAGCAGGTGGGAGAATCGGGCCTCCCCCAGGTGCCCTCCTAGAGCAGCAGGGGCAGATGGTCATGGGGTGCACTCATGCTCCTCAGGCCCAGCCACCTCAAAGGACCAGACCCTCCCTTAGGGACAGGGGCAACCTCCGTATGCTGCCAGATTCCAGTGCCAGGAGCGGGCTGGTACAACCCTCAGGAAAGTAGAGAAAGGGATAAGTGACCATCTCATGCCTCCCCAAGAAAGGGGTCTGTGATCTCCATGGATAGAATATCCCTTTGAAGTGTAGACGAGCCTCTTCCCCATCTGTGGACCCTGGCCCTGGAGAGCAGCATTTCCAGTCCCTCCGTCCCACCCGCAGCTCCAAGGCAGAGCAGGCCCCAAAAACCCTGCAGGGCCCTCTCCTCCCCTCAGGCTCGGCTGTGGGGCCTGGAGATCGCTTTTAACAGTGGCCTGCTCTCTCCTGCACAATCAGCGCTGCTCCACAGAACCTGCTGAGCTCTCCGCCACATTAGTAATCAGCGCACAGAAAGGCGCTTTCCCTCCCTGTCCTCCCCCGCCTCCTGTCTCACTCTCTCCTCTCTTTCTTCCCCCCTTCCTCCTTCACCTACTCCTTCAGTGCCCTCCCTGCCTATCAGAGTCACTGCCACCTCCTGGGAAGCCGAGAGGGTTTATCATCAAGTCAGTCTTTGTCATAAGGAAAACAGGTTTATTTTCCTCACTTTGAGAAGGTGCTGATAGGAACTGGGGAAAGGATGTTTTGTGTATTCAAGGCTTTTTTCCCCTGTGCCTGAATCTGACCCTATCTTCTAATCTATCTCCAGCATGGCTCCTCCGTCCTGCCTCTGCGGGCACCTGTCCTCTTAACCCTTATTTATGAGCGTTTGCTCACTGGACCTGTCTGCTCCTTGTCCTTCATTTCTTCCTTTATTTCATTTCTCTTGCTCAGTGCAGGAGAGTCATTCCCTCTACGTGCCGAGAACTTCAGTTGCTGGGGACAGGGGGCAGAGGTGGGGGTGTGTGGAGGATAGAGCAAAACAAGCAGTAACCGCGGTGACATGCAGCACACACAGCCTCACGGTGGCCGCGCTGGTCCATGTGGGTGCAGAGATGAAGGAGGCATCCTGTGGGTGGGAATACTGGAGAGGAGCCAGGGCAGAGTGGCACTCCTGGGATCCGAGCCCGGTGGGAGGCCCAGAGCTGAGAACCCAGTGGACCTCAGCACCAAAGAGTGGCGGGGGTGGGGAGCAGAAGAAGGGGCAGGGCTCCTGCTGGGTTCATGGGGCGAGATGTGGGGAGCAGAGGTGGGTATTTGGGTAGTTCTGGAAAGAGTGGCTTTGAAGGGGACAAGCCTGTAGTCATTGATTAGGAGGCCAGCACCCTGTGAATTAGAAGGAAGATGTAAGCCCACGGTGGCAATGGTCGTGGCAAGGGTAGTCAAGAAAAGGGGTAGAGAGACCCAAAAAACCCAGAAGGATAAGTGCTTGTGGCTGCTCGGCCGGCCAACTCCAGGGGAGGGTTGAGCAGGCTTCCTGAGCATCCTAGCAGGGCCTGGGAAAAGCACCCAGCCAGGGACCGGCCTTGGCAGTGCCCTGGGGACAGACAAGCCAAAGAGAACCAGAGAGTGACAGCAGCAGCAAAAGAGGCA